AGCATCTGACAGTCCGTCCTTAAAAAATAAAAAACTTTCTTCCCTTATTTTCAGGACATCTCACTCACCTGGTTTTCATCCTACTGTCCCTTTTGTTCCCCAGAGCTGTCTTAACCCTCTAAATGATCCCATCCTATATCATGGCATTAAATATGATCCATGCATTCCTAATTCCTAAAAGAGTATCTCGCCTCTCTCCTGGGCCTCAGTGTTGCAGCTCTATCTTTCTATGAAATTATCTCCATTTGGAAGTCTAATAGGAATCTTACACTTAACATACTCAGAATTCTTTCCTTTAAATTTTTTCCTTCCCAAGTCTGTCCCATCTCAGGAAACATTACAACCCATCTGGTCAGGCAACAATACCTGAGACTGATCTTTGCACTTTCTACCCCAAATCCAACCTAACACACCCTGTTGGCTTTTTGAAATGCAAATGAAAAGTAATCCAACTACTTTTTCACATCTCCACAGCTATCAACACCCTGAACTCTAAGGCGACTGGAACAGACCAGCACTTCTACTCTGACCAAGTGTAATCTCATTCCCATCTTCAGTGATCCTTTTAAAGCTCTGACTAGATCATGTTACTCCCTTGCCTGAAACCACCAGTGGCTTCCCATTATCCTCCTGTGCAGATAGGGCCTCACTAGGCCCACAGGGCCATATAAGATCTGGCTTCCATCATCTTCTTCCCTTGTTCACTCTCCTCAGCTACACTCTCTTCCCTGTCCTTAGTCAGCCTAAGTACCCTCACTCCTCAGGACATTTGTTCTTCTCTCATCCACAGGCAGCTAACTCCCTAACTTAACTGAAGTCCCTGTTTAAACTCCCCACCTCCAAGAATACTTCCAAGTCCACTCAGTCTAAAACAGTAATCCCGTTCACCATCCACTTTTCTCCTCCATAGCATTTAGGCCATATGACATCATATAGTCAATCCTCATTATTCACAGATTCTATATATGTGAATTTGCCTACTTTCTAAAATGTATTGTAACCCTAAAAATCAATACTTGCAGTGCTTTTGTAGTCATTTATGGGCATGCACAGAACAGTGAAAAATTTGAGTCACTCAACACTCATGTTCCCAGCTGAGGTCTAACAAGTCAACACTGTCTTTGTTTCAATTCTTACACTTTTCTTTTTACAGTATACTTTGTCACATTTTTCACTTTTTTGTGTTTTGTTGGTGATTTCACTGTTTAAAATGGCTCCCAAGTGTAGTGCTAAAGTGCTGTGTAGTGATCCTAAATGCAAGGTGTGATGTGCCTGACAGAGAAAACAGAAAAAACGTGTTAGACAAGCTTTGTTCACACGTTATAGTGCTCTTGGCTTTGTGTCAATGTTCATGATCATCACACACACACACACACACACACACACACACACACACACACACCGCACCTTATCTGTGGTTTTACTTTCTGCAGTTAGTTGTTACCTGTAGTCCAAAAATATTAAATAGAAAATTCCAGAAAAAAAGTTTGTAAGTTTTAAATTGCGCCCTGTTCTGATATCTTGATGAAATCTTGCATGGTCCTGCTCCATCCTGCTCAGGATATAAATCCCCCCTCTATCTAGCGTCTCCATGCTGTAGACGTTCCCACCCATCAGTCACTTACTAGCTATTCTCAGTATCAGACCAACTGTTTTGGTATCTCAGTTTGTGTTCAAGGAAACTTCTACTTAATAATGGCCCCAAAGTGCAAGAGCGCTGATGCTGCAATTCAGAAATGCCAGAGAAGTCGTGAACTTGACCACAGGTATGTATCTATAGGAAAAAACAGTCTATATAGGGGTTGGTACTATCTGTAGGTTGGGGTCTTAGAATATAGATAAAGGAAGAACCACTCATTGTATTCCATAAGTTGTCTTTAAACAGAAACACACAAATAACAAGATCATTTGTTGACCGGTTGACAAAAATGTTGTGATGAAACCTAACTTTCTTTTCCCCTAGGAGCAATGGTTCAGTATTTGTGAATTCAGCATTCACGGTGAATTTAACAGCACTACCACAAATAACAAAAACTGACCGTACGTATCTCCTATTACCACCTAACATTATAAAAACACCTCCTTGTTTAGAAGGTAAAACTCCTAAAGGGCAAACATTTCTTTTTTAAATTTACTTTTTTCACTGCCTTATCTCTGGGAAATGTTTACAACAGTGCATTGGCACTTAGCAAAAATCTAGAAATACTTGAATGAACAATAACAAGTAAAGGATGGATAAGCAATTCCTCAGAGAAACTCAACTGGCCAATAAAGTTATAGAAAATGTCCAATCTCACTAGTAATCATGGAAATGTAAACAAAAACAGCTAAGGGGTTTCCCCCGTCAATGGGGGAAACGTTAGTGAGAGTTCAAGAACATTTTGTTCTTGACAAGGCCAGTGTATTATAAACACTACCTAAAACATAGTAAGTTTTTCTAAGACAAAAATAAATATTAAACTAAGAAGAGTTAACAAGCATTCGACAGCTCTCAAGCAGAACCAAATGTAAAAACCTTTACTAGTTTAAGTTTTTGAAAAAGTTTTAAAGTCAATTGTGCAATTATTAAGACCTTTTAAAAGTACATATCCATTTACCCAACAATTCCACTCCCAGGAAATAAGGCCTGGATCTGTGCACAAATTTATCAACAAGAATAATCCCTGTAGTGCAATTAACAAAAAAATTACAAATCACCTCAACATCTAAAGACTGATGAGACAATGAACAGTAATCCACACAACGTAGTATTACATAGCTATCCAAAAGTTGTCAAAAACTGTAAGATGGAAAAAAGGTTCACTAAACATTAAGTAAAAACAGATCAAACAAAGAGGCACAACAGAATCCCACTTTTCTTAGTCCATATGCATAAAAATATGAAAATGTTTGTAGTTACCACCCAGTATGAAAATGGATGATCCAAACAAAGTCTTCTGAGTGTTTCTGTATTTTCCTTACAATAAGCATGCATTACTTTTGTACTTTTAAAAAAAGAGCTTCACATGACCAGGAGTTGATGTGTGCAGAAGTCCTTATAGTCCGGGACCTGCTCCCTGTAGCAGCTTCTGATTGCTGGAGAAGAAAAGTGCCCCGGATCCTTTCAGGACTTTTGGTCACAACACAAATCCAGTGAGGGAAGGAGGAAAAAATCCCCCAAATCCCTGCAGGATTAATTTATTATAAGAGGAAATAATAGAAAAATACTCAACATGCAAAAGTCTTGTGAAGAAAGAAAAACCACAAAACATGCCAAAGACTGAGAAAGACCACCCTTCAGGTGCACCACAGGAGGCAGAAGGAAATCCTCAACCTTCTGAAGGTGTAAGCCAGGAAGCAGGAAACCCTAGAAGCGGGCGACTAACCTGTCCAGGGATTTAAAGAGCTCCGGTTAGGCATTTGACCCTGAAGAAATGCTCAGAGATGAGTTGGAAAGGCTTAAAGAAGAAATAAGAGTAAGAAACAAGTTTGTGATGATGCATTGGAAGCAAAGACATTCACACAGGCGACCTTATCCCCGTGTGCTTTAAGCCCTGAATTCTTTTTATTTTTTAATCTGATAGTAAAATATGGCCCTTGCTTTCTTTCTGTTAGCACTTTCTGATGTATCTTGTACCTTTATTTTACCTGTAATCATCTGGCAGAATTTTTAGACAGTTTTCTTGTTAACCAGCATCTTACTGGATTTTTTTTTTAACCCATTCTCTAGGTCTATTTTTCAATTGGGAAGTTTCACACAAATGCATGAAAATATGTTCATCCCATATTGTAAAGTAACATAAGTTACGAAGTATATTCAGTATCAGCTCAGATATGTAGGATAAAAACCCCAAATTGTGTGTGTGCGTGTGCATGTGTATACATACATACATCAAAAACTTAACCGTGCTTATTTCTGTGTTGTGTGAGTTTTCTTTTTGCTTACATGTACATTTTAATGAACTCGTATAACAGAATTATAATTTCTTAAAAAGAGAATCAAATAATTTGCAACCTGCTTTTAAGGGCAATGGGGGCACCCAAACTCTTGATGAAATAACTATTAAAATGTAAAACTCAAGTCACCTCTGCATCTCTTAGCCAGAGGAACAAATCTGGCAATTACAGAAAAAAAAGAGAGGGAGGTTTGGGAGTAAACTTGACAAATCAATTATAAAGTACTGAGTCCCTGGAAAAATCTTCTACCCCAAGACTGCCACCCTTAAGCCTTAGTAACTACTGCTACTATCAAGTCACTACAGCAGGGGTGCTGCTGGGCACCCAAGACTTTAAATGAAACTCGAAAGGGGGAACCTATATTGGCAAGTTAAGTACTTTCAACTGCTGTAGTAACCATGCTTCACAGTCCTAGCTCTACAACTTTCTGTGCTGTTTCCTTAAGTGCTAAATGTGATAAAGGTATCTTGCTGATAGGAATGTCAAGGTTTAAATGTATTAATGTTTCATAAATAACAGAAGCCAGCGCATAGCAAGCTTTGTAAGCACTGGTTACTTTCTCCCAAAACAGAACTGTTGGATAGTGCCCTACTTTGGTTACAGAAATAAATCTCTCGGGGAGAAAGATATTTATGATAATGTAACTCTTTTCCCATCAATGCAAAAATAGATTACTTTTTCCTGTTATAGATCACTTATTGATCACTACCATTACTTAAATATCTAAGTAACAGGTTTCCTGCCACCCTTTGTAAGGAGAGAAAAAAGATCAGCTGTATGGGGGGAAGTTCACACTCTACTCTAATGGTGTAAGAAAGAGGCTCAGGCTCTTATATAAGACCACAGAACCAAGAGCAAAACAGTCATGCAGTCATATGAATATACAGTGATTTAAGTTTGTATAAACTAGTGTTTTTCCCGAGCCAATGTAACCAAAATTTAAAATGTGGAAATGTAATGTACCCAAACTGTACAAATTGCCAGAAACTAGATACCGCTTTTCATTTTTAACGTTTTGAAATCCTCATTGTCCAATAAATACAAAATGAAGCCGACAAGGAGAACAGATTCCTGGTCATTTTAATTTGTATAACAAATTACATGCTTTATGGGCAGAACCAAAGGTAGAACCTTCAGCAGCTTACATTTTGTTCATGAGAAGGCCAGTGTATAAACACTACCCAAGAACATAAGTTTTTCCAAGACAATAATAAATATTAAACTAAAGAGTTAATAAGCATTCAACAGCTCTCAAACAGATATTCATCAAAAAAAGGTAAGTCTAATGTGTCGTTTGCTAAAGAATTTAATGCTGAAGTGGAAAAAAACTCATCAAAAACATCAGTCTTCAGGGAACTTTCCAAGTTCAACGTTCTAACACAGGCATTATTTGTTAGTGGGTCTGGCTGAACCTGGCACTGATTTTTTTTGGTGGGGCTGCAATAATTATGGTCCTGTCTCAGGTGTGTGTTATGGGGAATACCATTTAATTCACTAAGTACTGGTGCTGGGATATGGTTATCTCCCATTTCTAAATACCTAACGTCGGCCTCCCCATTTTCTGAGAGCTCTGTTGAAACAACAGTTGTAGGAGACAATAATTCTGCTAAAATTTCTTCATGAGTTTGACCACTGTATGGAGAAACACTGGGAACGGTGGCTCCTCCAGATTTATTATCAACAATATCAATTTGACATTGCAGTTCTTTCAACAAGCCTTCTATTGACTGATCATCACTTGGAGACCCACAATGGGACACGTGTTCTAAATTTTCACTTGAAAGTTTTCCATTTGGGGGGGAAGACATAAGAGCAGCTAATTTCTTCTTTTTTGCCTTAAGTTTTTTAAGAAGTTTTAGACGAAGTTTATGAATCTGACCCTCAGTGGAGTCTTCATGGTTTGCTGAAGAAACACCATTTTCATTTCCACAAGATCTGTGGTTGAGGTGGGTTCCATATGAGCCATTTTCATGTTTCTTCAAAACTTCCAGGTCAGCATTAACATTAGCTTGTGGAGAAGCCACACTGCCTGAAGATGGAAGACTTGGTGGAGGGTTACTGGCTGGAGGAGGCTTACTCGCACACCTACGAGTTTTCTTGGACGCCCGCTGAGTCTTCTGGTTCATACCTTTAGTTTTAAAGCCACCAAAATTACTTGCCCCCTTAACCGAAGGCTGCAGATCAGTTATAGCGTTTCTATTATGAGCTGAAACACAAGGTGGCATAAAAGAAGCACCCTTGCTTAATAAGCCTTTAACCCAACTTCCCACAAATGGTTTCTTCAGATTTTCTCTCAGAGATGGATTCTGTGATGACTCAGCTGCTTTGGCTTGAGAAAATTTTCTCTTCAAATTAGACACCTGAGGTGTAGGGTGTCGTTCTGCTTTTAATTTCTCAGTTTTCGGTGAAAGAGAATGTTTTAACGGAACATCCTTCTCTAGGACAACTGTACCCTCAACTTCTGCTGACTTTACTCCCTGTATAGGACCAGTAGCATGAATATTAGTCACAGGTTTAGTAATTATAGTATTTTCTGAATTCGGCTGTGCTGACTGCATACTTGTATTTACAATCTGCGACGGAAAGCTTAAATCCCCGCATTGGTCTTGGGTAAACTTTTCCTTACATGGAGCTGATACTAAAGAAGCCATTAGCAACTCTTGTGGTTGCAAAGTATTTGTTTTGACAACCACTCCACTTTCTGCCACAGGTATATTTTCTAATAGGAAGCCTTCAGAGTTAACCTGTATTTTTTCAAGTGTCAAAGGTATAATATCATTTTCAACCAAATCTTTCGGAACTGAAAGTAAATGAGGTTGATGAGCTTCATCCTGGGAAAGAGTATCAGGAGCAACTGATGCATTTGAGGGGCATGTTCCTGAGGGTATTTCAGCTGAGGCATCACCCACAAAACACAATGCTGGAGGTACTTGTTTCTCATCACTGAAAGCATGCCGATCATTAGGCTTTGGAAGTGGAACACAGGCAGATGCTTTATCTGTCATTTGCGCCGTTTTTCTTTCCCAAATAATAATATGTATTTCTGAAGCAGGAACTTCAAATTTCTCACGCCTTTCAGAACATGGGCCTTTTAGGTCATCACATTCCAGCCAACCTCCTGGGGATGAGGGAGGAAGTAGATCAGGTCAGACGTTCAAAGGCACCATAAACTGCTGCCTTACTGACTACCACTGAGGGTAACAAACAGGACCGTACTCTCAAGTCACCACTTTTCTACACCAAGTCTTAAAGTCCTTATTTGGATAATGAAAGTTATGGACTAACATCCAGAAATTTGAAAGAGTTCTTACTCTTTTTTAAAACGCAAAAATCAAGACAGAAGAATATTTAACTTTTGGGACTTAGAATACAGTAACACCTAGTTTATCCAACAACATCAGAAAACAGATTTTCTCCATATATATGAATTCTCAAGATAAATAAAGCTGTTACCTCAAGTAGCAACATTTGTTTCAATTCTTATTTTATTGCTCTTTTTTTTTTGGTTTAAAAAAAAAGAGCTTAGGTAGTTAGGTGTTTATTTTTTTTTTCTGAACCTGTTTTCTCATTTGTCAACTGGGAATGGGATGATGGATACAATCCTCTACATACAAATACACTCCAAACAAAACCATTCAGTAAGTTTATGTGGATACACCCTCAGAAACTACCTGAACACACTACTTCGTAATCTATACCCATTACAACTTTGAGAATCTTTTGCTTCCTGGGTCAATGGTTCCCCACCACACGTGCACATTAGAAACAACTGATTAACATTTGGGCCCAATCCTCAGAGACAGACCACTGGCCTAGGAGAACCAGGACATTTTTAATTTTAATAAGCTAACCATGATTTTTATATGCTGTCAGGGCTGGAAACCATCTAACCTCTTTTACCTAAAGAAGATTTTCATTTCCTGGAATACAATAAAAAAATTAAGTGGTTTTTTAGTTATTGTTTGCTACTGAGAGCTACTCCCCCCAAATTCTGAAGTAGGGTAAACCTTAAAAGTAACCATTACATTGATAATGCAAGTTTTAGTTTGCAAAGTACTTTTATAACACATTATAGTGTCATCCACTCAAACCACCCCCAGAAGGAAAATATCAAATATTTTTGATTAAACAATGTCCAAACAATAAAAAATAGAAAAATAAAAGATATCAATGGCCTGATAGAACACTTTAAGGGGATTGAGTTGTCTTGTCTAAGACAAAGTGAACGTTATGAGGAAAACAAACTCAAATGGAAAGGGGAAATTAGCAAAATCTATGCGCTGTACTATTTATCCTTCTATTCAAAAGCTTAATTATTTAAATAAAGCTTAATTATTTAAATAAATAAAGGCTTTACCTTGACTGTAGCTATTTAGCAAACTATTTCACAGTGAGAGAAGACTACATAGTCTGTAATGTCTAACAGTTTCAGAAATAGGTGTGTACTTTTACTTATTATTACTAACAATTGCAAAGTATGTAAAGCCTGTTACTTCTCAATTAAAACCCTTCAGCACCATGCACTTTCTTTACAGGTACAAGCTTATGTACCTAAAAAAATCAAATTACCACCATTCATTTTTCTATACCAAACATATATTACTCATGTAAGAAAAATAAAAACAAAGATATTAAGTAGAAAATAGCAAACTGTAAACCACCAGTAGTATATGATCTCATTGTCTAAAAAAGAAACATGCTTATGCATGGGTATGCATATAAATATGCTAACATAAGCAAAGGGAAAAGTTAGGACTGGTTCTAAACCATAGTGACAGAGGAAAGGGCAGAAAAATTAAAGGCCAGGGCAAGAAGAAAGAGAAAAAAGAGTGAAGGCAAAGTTTGTCTTTTTAAAACAATAGAGTTTAGTCTCTATGTCCATTATCATTAAAAAAAAAAAAATGTTTTAACACTTACCATCAGTGTCTAAAATCCATGTTATAAAATGATTATTTGCCTGGTACTGAATTACAGAAGTTATTTGGTAAAGACAGCCTTCAAAATAAAATGAGTAGTGTTGCAAGTCGTTATGTGGTAAGCCTTCTACAAAGTGCAACATGAATACGGGAGACACTCTGTCAGAGAGAAAGGCAAGAGAGGTCAAATGAATTGAATACCATGTTCCCGGTAATACGAAAGACAGTCTGGAGTGACTAAGTCACACAGTGTTTTAAGGCTAACCACACTCATTCTTCTTGAGCACCTCTAGTGTATGCCTTAATTAGAAATGGAGAACTCACTTTAAGACATCTGTAACATTTAAACCCTTCTCAGAATGGGATGACTGACAGAAGCCATCATGCAATAAGGCTCCAACACAGACCACTAAACAAAAATTGCTCTGTAAGTCATGGTGCTGCTTCGGCTTAAAGATTTCTTGGGCCCTGGCCAATATGGCTCAGTTGGCTGGGCGTACCGTAGTCCCTTGCACCAAAAGGTTGAGGTTTCGATTCCCGGTCAGGGCACATGCCCAGGGTGCAGGCTCCATCTCCAGTACGGGGCATGCAGGAGACAGCCAATTGGTGTTTCATTCTCACATCAATGTTTCTCTCTCTTTACTCCTTCCTCTCTCTCTAAAAATCAATTTAAAAAATCTTTAAAAAAATAAAAATCTCTTGGTAACTACTTTGTAGACTCAAAGGAAAAATCCAGACTTGTTAGAATTTTCTGGGCATCAAGTGCCCAAATGAAATGCTTTTGTTAGGGAGGATAGGCAATACGTGAAACAAAGTAACAAGCCCAAGATGTTCAAATAAACATTAAAACCCCCCAACATGCTAACAATTTGGCCTTTTTCTCTAAGTTATCTCAGGAGGTAGAGAGGAACATCAAACTAAAATTTCCATTTAGAAAAAATTTAATTTGTAACTAAGTAGAGGAGAAAATACAACATACTGGTTAATTTACTATAAACTTCAAGATATGCATAATTTCAAAAATACAAAACTACAGAAATGTGGCTAACCAGAAAACAGAACCCAAAGATGAGCTTCAAGTAACTAAATTTAACAAAGCTCTCAGGATTTAAGGAAAATGTTGAATATCTCTCTCCCAATATTTAAACAGCTGTCAAAACTTAGTTTATGAAAATTTTTCAGCTGAAAATTAACTTGAATCAATGTCCAAAATACAGGTTATTCAGACTGACAAGGACAATTTGTAAATTATCTGTCCTCAATCATTCTATTAGAGAACAATGAAGTCTCCAAAGTTTAGGTACCTACAAATAAAGTCCTGCAAAACTCTCCATAACACTTGACTCCCATTTGTTTTTACCATACCTATTTCATCAATCTAAAAATGCCAGATTGTAAAATGTACCACTATGAAATAATGCTGCCAATTAAACTATACCATGCCAGCAATTTTTAGATGTATTCCCATTTCAAGTATGTTAAAATATGAAGAGTCTATCTTTGAATCAACCATCCACAGTAAAGCTAGATATATTTTCTCATAGCTGGAAAGGCAGGCTGTAGGCACCTGCCTGACTCTTTTAAGTACTAATATTTAGTTCTCTCTTGGTCTCATGATACCTTTTCAAGATATCTTCTGAGGCTAGTTACTATAGCATTCTATTGTTGATCCCTAGACTTCACAACCTCAGTAGTATGAGTTTACACATGGAAAATGTTAAATAGGCAGCATTTCTTTCTTAATGGTAGTACATTTAAAAAATAGTGCAACTTATAAATGATGGCATCTTGGAGTCAGTAAAATAGAGCACATGCCTCCTCCCCCTTTTCTAGTTTATTTTCCTTGTGGGTCCACTAGACTCCAGTGTCTCCTGAAAGTCACAGTATTCTCCTACCCATAATTTTAGCTTGTCTCATTTCTAGTCTCTCAGGTAAGGGCAGAAGTTTACCCCTAACCAGCAACAGATTTTGTTCTCAGGCTCCTTTCTATCCACAATGCCTGGAGTGTAAAAGACGGTGCTCAGAGTTGAGGAAAGCAAGTCAGGTTCTGAGTCAAGCATAAGAAAACTGGATGGGGAGGGTTAATGGAACTGGAACCAGGAGATTGCAAGCTAAAATCCATTTGCTTTCATCTCCTTAACCTGAGGTTCAACTCCGCCTACTATAAGGATATACCCTTAGGAAGAGAAAATAGAAGAGAGAAAGGAAGCACAATCCCTGTGTGTTACCTGCCCTGTTACCAAAGACAGGAGAGACACTGAACCTCTGACCCTCACAGAGCAGCCATGGTCTTGTGCTAACGGCCTGCAGTACAAGTTTTTAACTTTCATCCCAACTAGTGTAATATAACAATTCATGTTAGAAAATGCAAATTTAACAATGTGTATATATTACTTCTGAACTGTGATAATGTAGGCTTTAGGCGGAAAAAAAATCTGTAATTGTAATTTTGAAACCTCATTACATTTTAGATATATTACATCATTGAGCTATTTCAGACAGACCAAAAAAAATATGAGTAAAATTAGGTGTAATTCAAATAATCAGAATTGGTTCATGTTAATTGTAAACAAGAAAATACATCTTTAGAAAATTTCAACTGTTCAATAAACGTTTTCAAACATGTTCTTTGGAGGTACTTCAAGGATTTCATACAAATAATAAAGCATTTTCTACCAATGAAAATTTAAATTAAGAAACATAAAATTTTAACTATTTAACATATCAGTATTCTATCCAAAGTTTTGTAGAGGAAAGTGTAGTTTATCTGCTTTAAAAAGTCTCAAAATTATTGTATTAGACACTTTAATAAGCTCTATAAGCTTCGAACAGAAATGTCTTATTTCTCTTCCTACCACTCCTCTATCTCTTACAAATAGTTAAAAAAAAATCTGTGTTAAAATTGAAGCTTAAGTAAATATGCTTTTTAAATGAGAATCCAGGATAGTGTATGACCAAACTCCTAAAGAAGATTGTGGCAGTAATGAGAATGGGACGGTCGTTTCAAGAGTTGGAGAAACCAAATTAAATCAGATTCTAAGTTGGTGCTCCATGTCACCACCATGCTCTGAATGCAAATCCCAAACACATTACTTAGAAAAAAAGTGGCAGATGTGGACCCACTAAATATTCATCTGATTTACCAATGGACTCTTTTTCTAATGGAAATATATTAGAGATGTGAATTACCAGAGACAAGGTGTCAGGGAACTTATAACACTATTAGTTTTTAAAATGCTGTAAGACTGAATTATGCATGATATCATGATAGACCTAATTTTAAGTTATGCCTAAAAATTGTATTAAATTTGTTTCTCAATTCCATTAAACCCAAAATCAAGTTATACAAATTTCAAAGTAAAAAACTACAAAGGATTTTATAAAGACCTCGTCACTTAAATTTTAAGTGAAATTTTACATATTAGTTCAATTTATTTTTGAATACAGTAAATGTCCAAATTATAAATTCTGCTTATAAATTGACCCATTAGAACTCTAAACACATTTCCTGCTCAAACACCATTACTCCCTACATTTCCAGGTCAGAACATGAATCTTTAATGTAAGTAAAGCAACATATTTGTATAATTAAAAATCATGTTGCAATGTGACCAATTAACAGATCAAACAAAATAGTAGTATGAGTTTATCCTCAATGCTGGGGCTCGAGGAAAAGCAGGTATAAACTCTTAGATGAACTTATATACCCCAGAAGCCTCAAGCAATTCAATGGTCCAGTGCAGGTTGGCACACACACCCACACCTGCAGCCCTTCTACCTCCATATCAAAGAAAGGGCTTTTAAAAAAAAAAAAGAAGCACTTAAGATTTCAAAGCTTGGACTGCAGGCAGCCAAGACAGACTATGGCCTGCTGGTTGAAGACATCGCCTCTTCTTTCCCACTCTGCCCTCCCATGTGAATGCTACCATATGATGGTGAAGGACAAAAAAAAAAAGGTAATTAACTGAAAGGACAAAAAAAGAAAAAGGAGACATGAGAAAACAAGAAAGAGACAATAAATATTTAGACAGCAAAAAGCAAACAGGAAAGTGGTGACTCAACAGAATGGACGAAGTGATGACATTGAGTGCAACAGAGCTATGGGCACACTGATGAGAAGAGAAGCCCTATAAGACTCAATGTGTAAGAGTGGTGGTAAGGCGCTGGGCTGAAAACTGGGACAGTGACAGGAAGTGTGTACAAAGCACTCTCATGCCCCACGCCCAGAGAGGAATCAGTATAGACTGAAACACTGGAGCAGAAGGGTGAAAGGCAGAAGAGAGGTTTCCAGGAAAAAAGTAGGGAAGGAAGACTAAAAAACTGTGAAGCATTTGAGTGTTTAGAAAAGTATTAATAGGTGTTTAGAAAATCACAATGTATACTTAAAGCAAATAAAAACACAAGGCAATTAATAATACCAGAAAAAATAAAAGAGTTGTAAAAGAAATAAAACAGAACCACGTACACTGCTTGGCTAGGGAGGGAATATATGCATATTCATAATAAACAATGAGTACAGATTTAACCCAAAATGCAATCATATATGAAGGGAGAAGTTAAGAGATGGGCCCAGATGTTGGTTAAGAGCCCTAATACTCAACTACTATAAAAGAAGATGGTAGCCTTCTTTTAGGAGGAATAAGCACATTGGTGGAATAAGCACAATGTTTTGAAAAGTCAAACTAAATACTTCCTAAAAGGTTTAAAGTAGATACCTGGAGATGGGGTACGAGGGGCCCTGCTCTTTTTTTCCTTTTTAAGTCTTGGCACTATCCGATTGGGAATTTATTACTTGGATGAAAACAAACCTTTAGAGGCCCTGACAGGGTAGCTCAGTTGTCTAGAGCATCATCCCGATACTCCAAGGTTGTGGGTTCAATATCCGGTCAGGACACATATAAGAATCAACCAATGAATGCATAAATAAGTGGAATGACAAATCAATGTTTCTCTCTCTCTCTCCCCCCCTTTCTCTCTAAAATCAATCAATACATTTTTTAAAACCTTTAGAAAAGATTCTGAGGGGTTTCTTGGCACATCCAAGGGCATCAGAAAAGGTAAGAATATCACTGGTTCTTTATGACATCAAATTATACCTCAAAACATCTACTTATTGTAGAGATACAGATAAGGGCAACAGAAAACAAAGCTTAAAGAGAATGTTCACGTGTGAGCGTATTGACAAAACAGAGACAGACAAACTACCTAAAATGGAATTGACCTGTGAGTTTAAAGACATGGGGCTTCTGGTACCACTGGAAAAGTAATTCTGACCAGTCCTCCCACTGAAGACAAATAGAAAGGCTGGCAGAACATAATAAAGAGACATCTGCTCAAGGGCAGCAGAAAGCTTACAAGAGGATGAGGAATCAGCAGGCTGAGAGGCCTGGGAGATGGAAATTCAGACTGATGAGCCTATGGCTCATCTCTGAATCATGAGTTCTTGAAATTAGATTAAGGAAATTCCAGGATTCTAGTGACTTCAGGTACTTGGCAGAGGAGAGAAAAATTGAAGTTTAACATCCTTAAAGGGAGAGAAAAGGCAAAAGAATAAAAGACACTAGGAGAAAGGGGTCAGATAATCACCCTAAGTCCGTCCACTCTTCAGTGGCATTTCACCTAGGAGGCTGCTTGCTTGCTTGTTGGACAGAGTTCCTGATAGAAAAGCATTTTGGCAATTCTTAAAATATGTGTTAATTCAAATGCCTGAAAAGTAGTTTGCTGTCATCACCTTCAATGCTACACATTAAAAAAAAAA